AGAAATGCTACATGGCCAGCGGAAAAGGGCGGACACCAGCAGTGACACAAAGGGCGGACACATCTTAAGAAAGAATTGAGAACCCCTAACAGTAAACTGTTTGGGGGAAAAAAGCGACCGGAAATCTGACGAAACGTAGCCTCACCACCATCAGCTGGGGAAACAACCTCAGCTGCATGGGCAAAGTCCAAACAAATGAAGCGAGTGAATGATCTTGTGATGCCTCTGACAAAGCAATCAGAGTTCTTTGAACACATGTATGTAATTGTATGTGTGAATATATATATATATACATGTGACTGTGTCTTGCAATGTCCTCATCCTTTCTGGTGAATTGTCCAGGTCCTTCATCCAGGCAACTTCAGACCGAGGAAGGCCACCCCATTCGCTCTCCTCGGACTCCATCTGTTGCTCATGTGCGTGACAGCCATTCGCCGGGAAAATCACACGCAAGCCGCAGAGAGCCCATGCAATCCGGCTCAAATTCAAATGCTCCTCATCGTCATCAGCCAAACGGTCACAAACCGCACCTCTGGCACTTGTGGAGGGAACAGGCGTGGGTTCAACAAGGAATTTTGTCAAAATACTCTAATGTCTAGCTTCAGCATGCGTTAGACTATCGTGGCAAGAGAAGAAAGCCATGTCCAAATCTGAACACCAGGGCAGACCTAGCACCTGTTAGTTGAAAGTAATTGGTCTGGCCCGCGTTGGTATCAAGCTAAATGAAACCAGTCCAAGAATCAGCCAAATTGGTTTGTGCTTGTGCATAAGCAAACCCGAAGTTCAGTGAGACTCGCTGGGCAGGTTCACATTCGTCCACAGACCACTGACAAAAGGGGACAAAGTGAGAGACAAGCAAGATTAACATACTTTGACTTTGATCCAAGGCATCTGCAATGATGCCGAGCCGAATCTGCCAATCTACCACTCATGTCTACTGACCCAGTTACATTAAAGCGTTTGAGGTAAGGGAAATATGTGCAGCCCAAACAATCCGCAGACCAACAGTCCAGTGAAATAAATACGACATGTCAAAAGTAGGACTGCTTCAATGCAACGCAGCCGGCCAACCGAAGACTGGCAGGAGACAACAGCACAATGCAGAGAGGGCCCAGATATTGGCAAAGGATCAGATCGAACGCAGGTCCCAGATGCTTGTCTGGATGGTGGTTAAAACCCTTCCCACAAGTATTATATATATATATAGTCAACTGAGGTAGTTCATTCCCAGCGCAAAAATGAAAGCACCAACCAGTTGCGTTTCCTTAGTTTCCTTTGTTTTCAAGCTGGCTTTCAGGCCTACACCGCAGCATTTTGCTGCAAGGAGCTGCTGCCCAAGCAACCCGATCACCTGGGTCATGCCGCTTCCTTTTGGCAAATAGCATGAAGCGATGTAGCGCTGGCATGTGTTAGAAGAACGCCCCCAAGCTGCATGGTCGCAGAAATTGTCCAATTCAAAATTATAATCAAACACGGTTTTGCTTTACTTTTCGGAGAGCAGGGTGGAAAGCAAGTCAAATCATCCTGCCATGCTGAACAACTCTCCAGATCTCTCAGTGGTCTTCTAAGGCACAGGCTTCAGCAGCATCAAATTCACGGTCTTCCTAACCACACGTGACTGAGAAAACATGTGAAATGTATTCACCAACAACCCGAATTCGGACCAGTCCTTCTCGTTCCAGGGCAGTTCCACCCCCAGCCGCCGACTTGCATCGTGCCTCGAGAGAGTCTTGGACTGTGAAACAAAATTCATTGATATTGTTTCTAACAGCTTCTGGTTACTACTAGTAAGGCACTTGTTTCTAATACCTACTTGTTACTACTAGTAAGGCACTTGTTTCTAATAGCTTCTGGTTATATAAATAGATTAATAGCAAACATTGTTACTACTAGTAAGGCACTTGTTACTAGAAGCGATGCACTTGTTACTAGTAGCTTCTTGTTTCTGCTAGTAAGGCATATATTATATAACCCATCAACCTATTTCAACACAAAGTTCCAAGAGACGAAAACGCTGCCGCTTTGGGCAGCTGGTTCAACGAAGGCTGCTAAAGCAGCAAACTTCTGAGCTGACTTTGGCTCAGCTACCACGGCCACAGGCGGCCTATCTTGCGTCAGTTGATTCAGCTTGCGTTTGTTTCAGAATCCAATCCTGAGACATTCAAGTATACGATCCTACTCCGCCAAACACAAAATAAAAATAGCATAGCACTCCTGAAACCTCTGCCCTTTGGCATGGAGATACTCAACGCCCTCCACCTCTTCCAAAAGGAACCACGGCCTCAACAGGACCAACAGGGACCGTCAGCTACCTGCAACACACCAGCGCTGCAAGGCTGACAATGTGTTGTGGATCGCTTCAGGCTGCGGCAGACCGTTGGCTTCTCCAAATCCAAGTCCAGCTGAACCACCCACAACCCCAAGGCACAAAGCCTCCAAAAGGCTTCGTTCGATTGGGGCATGCCCTGCAATGGAATTGACGTCACAAGGGGCTGGGAAGGAACCTAAGTCTAGTGCGGCAATGGAATCGACGTCACCGCCAATGTCCACAGAAGCCCTTTCAGCTCAAGTCCAAGGCAAAAGCACAAAGCAGTTGCAGTACTGATCAACGTCGTGCCGTGTCCTGCCTAAGAATGTCCAACGGTCCTCTGTGATGCTTGAGAAGGTAGAGCACCAAACCAGAAGTTCTCATGGCCTGCAGCAGTCCATGCTGCCACTCTAGTTCTGTTCCAGGATTAGGTGAGTGATGAACATACATCGTTTGTCTCTGAGGATTGGCTCGCGGTTTTGCTTATACAGCAGTCGCAACTTCTCTTGAAGACTTGAAGGATCTTGAAGGTAGCTTTTCGGAACATGCACTGTGCATTCCTCTGCCCTGTCTATGAGTCTATTGTGTGAAGCATTCAACTTAGATTCTGGCATCGGACCAAAGCCCATGCATCTTTGATGAGCCATCGTCACCAGCTCCAATGCCATCCGCCTGGAAAATGCTTGACTTCAAGAGTTTGTGCTCCGGTGACATTGAAAGTGATGGACAATGGACCAACCAAAGTTCGTTCAGGATCGGATCAGGGACTTCCACTCTGATTAGAGGCTTACGGTCAACTCATGTTGACTCCCACACAGACTTGCGTGTGAGTGTGTGTGTGTGTGTGCGTGTGTTGAAATAGAGAAACCTCCCAACCAATGGGTTGTGGTCTATTTTCCTTCTTCCAGATATTCTTTGGCAGGTCTCCCTATTTCAATACACGCCCACTTTCACTTTCTTTGTCTTTGGTTCTCAGCTGCTGGCCGGAGGGCATGGCTGTGGACCACAGAGTATCTCATGCCTCGCTCACACGGCATGAAATAAAAACACAAAAAACATTTCAGGTTCACCTTTCCACAGCTGAGTGAGCTGCGTGGATGCGGGCATTTTGTTGAAGCGATCACCCCAATCATGATAGTCCTTGTACTCGGTGGGTTGACGTGCGTTCCACCAAGACCAAACACAAATGACTGCGAACATTTGGCACTTTCAACGCGGCAGTTTCGTGTCCTCCAGGGCATCAAGCTTCGCAAGGTGTGCCTCATCGAGTTAGGCTCTAACCTTTGCCTATCGTTTACATTCTGTCAACCCTTCATGGACCTCAGGATGTGGTAGCCAGAAAACTGCAGTGGTGTTGTGCGAGATTCACGGGCTGGTTTGTGTGACAGGAAGTCACGTAATAATATGTGTGAAAGCAAAAAAATGCCTCCTTCCAAGCATGCTTTCCTTATGATTTCATCGTCTTTATATATAACTTTATCTATATAATATATATATATACATACCGTTTCTCACAGACCTCCGCCTTGAAAGGTTCGGTCAAACGATAGGTTTTGGAACGACATTTTACCAAGGCCCCTTGCAGCATTGGGAAGGTGACAAAGAAAGTTAGGCTGGGGCTGGGACTGATTGCACAAAGTGGACTGGAACAAATCGCAACACTAAAATGTCTGTCATCGCACTCGCTAGTGGCTCCTGATGGTGCACACAACGTAACTCGATACACCTGCATCGACTGCATCACCATACGCATAACTTACATATGCGTGAAAAGATTGCAATACAATGCAATACATACCAAGCAATCCAAAACCTCACTGCGTCCCGTATCTCCCAGCCTCTGTTGCAGCATCACGAGCGTTACTGTGCTGGAGTCGCTGCAAAGACACAGAAATCACCTGCAGAATGGAAGGGCAAGTAGTGGCAGCACATTCCAAACAACTTTCATCCACGGCCCAGTGTGACTCGAGGCATACCCTGGCCCTTTGCAAAACATCAGTTCTGGGCTTCTTTCTGGTCCCCTTCTTCCACGATCAGCCACCGTGCTCCCTGTGAGGAACAATGAAGACACTCAAAAAGCTTTGATCTTACGGCACAGCTGCTTTTTGCTGTTGTGAAAGGGTCCGAAGTTGGGGGCCTCTGCCATAAGAAAGCTCGCTGCTCTTGCTCGCGGATGTGGGTGCCTGCGCCGATTTTTGGAGCGAAGCGTTCACTCGTCCCAAGGGGTCAGCTGGGCCCATCACGTGAAACGATTCCAAGGAAGCTTCTAGCTACTAGAAAGTTTGGTTACTAAGAAGCTTCAAAGACATACTAAAAAGCTTCTTGTTGCTAGCTACAGATGAAATGATTCCCAGTGAAACGATTCCCAAGGAAGCGGTCAGCTGGGCCCATCACGTAGCATTGGCATTCAGGATGCAGAGTCGCTCGCGGATCTTTGCATCTCTAACATAAGCCAAAGGCAAAGCCTGAGTTCCAAACTCATTTTACTCATTTTGTCTGCTGAATCAGTCTGCTGACCTGTGCTCCGAACCCTCATTGGAGGTGCATTGCCAGGGTCCTCTTTGGAGGCTTGTAGCCTCCTCACCTGACTACATGCACTCGCACATTTTCTTTGTAGACTTCTTGATCCCACTCCTCGTCGATTTCTCGAAATCCACGAAAGTAGGTCTTGATGCTACCATGACCTTGCAAGAGAAGTCATTGTCGTCCGGACATTTCGCAAGTCTCCCAAGTACCCCGCCATTCCTTTCCGCACCAGGAGGTGCAGGGCGTGGTCTTTTCTTGGCCAAGTCCCACTCTGCCTCGCATGGCTACAGGATCTTTGAGCACATTCAAACAGGTACAATCTCTGCATGGGTGGTGAATCCGGAACGGCGCTAGGTCGTGAAACAGCAACGGCCTGCCAAGCCTTGAGCATCTCTTCTTCACCTCGAAAAACTAGGACCATTTCTAACCACCAAAAAGGTGTGCCGAGCTAAGGGATGCACCAAGCTGCAGCCCATGCGCTAAGAGGCCGTTTACCAAGCCCACGGTCATTTCCTCCGCCATGAACACTTGACTCAGCCCAACTCTGATTGCTGAAGAACTGAGTCTTGTGCGCAGTCATCTGTGTACATGCCACACGCCTCAATCACATGCAATCTGCACCCAGAAAATGTAACTCCAAGAAATAGTGGCGTCAAGATGCTTCTTTCAGCACAAAGTCGGGGTGGGGCAAACGGTACAGTATCACATTGGAGAAACAACCCACAGGTCAACTGGGGTCGTAGCGGTGTTGGTGTTCCACTCAGTCCTGGCAAGAACATCCTTTAAAACAAAAAAAGTATATATATATATATCATATTATATATATAGTTTAATACAATATATTATATATATACACTTCTTCCAAAACCTGCAGGATGCTTTGCTCGCTTGCTCCCTTCGCTTGCTTCGCAGACGCTTCGCGTCCTCCGCATGGGATTCTTCGGCCACCGGTCAAAGGACACCGATCGGCGGATCCAGTACCTCGGCTGATCATGAGAAGGGTGGAAGCAACAGCTTGATGGGTTGGAAAACAAGTCCTTATGTGGGGCCTGCTTTGGAGGCCTTCACCAACGAGCAGAGGATGCCATTGAAAAGGACACTTGGAAAGCCAAGCCAGGAGGGCCCAATTGCCCAAGTACTGTAATATGCTAATACTTATTTTATGAACAAGCATGATGATGGAACAAAATTCATCTAAGCTCCGTCTGAGCCTCCACGGATGCGCCCAAACGCGCCAGGTTCAGAGGCGCTGAGAAACTGGGGAAAGAAGTGACGGTTGGAGACAGAGACCAAGAGCATTATGGTGTGGGAATAGCGTCTATCCGATCCTCGATCCATCCCCCACCGGCCTTCCTACGACGGTTTTGGTAGGGGGGCCAGAGTCGAGTCAATTTGCACCTTTACATTCAGGACCTGACAATACATGAAGTTGTTCAAACATGTTCAAACTGATGACATCCGCACCAAATAGGGCCTTCAAAATGATTTTCAAGTTGAGGACCTTCCAATGTACTGACTTGCATGCACCACCGATACCACCAAATCTGGACCGCTGGCGGCCCTGGCGCATCTTGCATTTCAATGATGGCACCGAAGGCATCACCGATGGCATCTCCAATCAGCAGTTGGATTGCCTGGAGAACACAAAGAAAGCAAACCGAGAACTATGGCAAGGCACTTGGGACTGAGGGGAACCTTTCAGCAACCATGCAATTGCCGAGAGGAGTGCAAGCAATGGGCAATTTGCCATGTGGACATCGGCAGAAGCAACGGGCAAGCGTCGTCTCTCTCTAGGTGCTTGGCAGAGCCGCCATTGCCAATCAGTTCCCTTCGTCTAGCCCTGGCCTGAACATGACACTGGCAAACGCTTGCTCCTTTTTGCGCTTGGATGCGAACCAACTGACACAATTAGTTTCACAAAACAAGTGTCTATATAGGATGAGTTGGTCCAGGCTCTCCTCAGGGTCCTGGGCAAACATCGGCACCTGACACGTCACTTTGCTCGGCATGTTCCCACCCCACATGCAAAGCATGTCCAGCGGTGAAGTCCGCCCGCACCGAAGGTGCCGAGGCGTTGTGGAGGCTCGAACGAGCCGTAAGAAGTCTGGAGAGTTCATCCTAAGCGTTAGCTTGGGGGGGGGCCTCCTCGGAGTTACGAAGTGCTGTGCTTTGCAGTGCTTTGTGAAGATTGATTAAAACAATGATATGGTCTGGTCTTGGACCAAACGTTCGCGACGCTCGTTATGCTGGCTGGTGAAAATTGCATTATCGACATCGCGGGCGCATGTGCACCCGGGGAACACTGCATTATTGACATCGTGGGCGTGTTCGTCCGTGTGTCCTGCCTGACCGAGACAGACAGACTGACACACTGAGACAGACAGCACACACTCCGTGCGGACGCCTCGCTGTGAATATATGGTGCATGTTGTGCTGACTGAGCTTACTGTAGAAGGATAGCTAACCATCTACCAGAATAGAGATCGCTCATTTAAAACATTGGACATACTCAGCCAAAACCACACGTGCTGGAACGGCACCTTCTCTGGTGAAGGAGTTCGGTGCCTTGGCCTTGGAGTATCCGACTTGGGAAAGATCCAAAGCATGTTGTTTGATTTACAACAAAAGGGAACCTACTGTAATAGCCAAAGGAACCTATATAATAGCGATGGCCTCCAACCTAGAAGCAATAGCCTCCAACCTAATAGCGATCGCCTTGCCAAATGACAAGGAAATACTCAAGCTGTGGGTGAAAATCAGCTTCCCAATGATGCAATGGGCACCCAAGCCCACTTCGTGGCTTCGGAGCCCTCCTGACATCCATCAACACTATTTGGGGGATCTGCTTTGGACTGTTCAGGCTTAAAACAGTTTCCAGCTTCAGTCTGGGTGCAACCAGGCAGGTGGAATTCAATATCTGTTCAACCATCTGGGTCTTTATGTTGCTAAACGCTAGTGTGGAGGTAATAGCAAAATGTACACGTGTGTTTCTGTGCTGGGCCTACAATGCATATTAATACACTGTTCTCATGGATGCCATTGATGAAGGAGACATTTACACAACTACAAAGGGTGGCCTGTGGGACTGATACATGCACCCGCAAATGTGGACACAATGAAACTTTAATGCATGATTTGTCGGCACAGGCATCTTTGGCTCAGAATCTCTAGAAATCTATATAGTTTGGGCCTCCAACTATAGAGCTTTCTCCAGCGCATCGGCACGAAATTGCAACACAGCGGGAAAAAGGATACAGTTACATTGAGCTAGGCCAGTATCAAAATACGTTTCTCAAAACGTACGCTAGGCGCTTGCGCCTGCCATGTGCACACACAAAAATCGCTGCGTCCGGCAGAAGGCTCTCGCCTGCCCCTTCTGGCTCCACTCTGTGCAGCTTGCGTCCTGTCAGTCCCGTTCGGTAGTAACTCCCGTTTCATGTTTAAACATGTCATCTAAATTCCTCTACTGGCAATAACGGAGGGCCCTCAGTTGTTTCTTTTGGCGTTTCAGTAGTCCTTTCTTGCTTTGTGATGTTTTTTGTGGTGCATGAGGGGAAGAAAGGGCCGCTCGTAGAAGGTGCAATAGCTACTAGTAGCCAGCAAGAAGCTATCGGGTTTTTCAAGGAAGCTTCCGTTAGTGTTCCAGGCTTTTAGAATTGTTGTTTCAAGGTTAGTAGTGGCTTAAGAATGCATGAACCTGAGTCTTCTTCAAGGAAGCGCCCCCTGCCTGAGTGCGGGGGAAGCTTCCTTTGAAGAAGCCCTCGCACTATTCATTGGTTTCTAGATTTTGGGGAGACTCAACTTTGAACTCAACCCTGCGCTGGAGTGTCTTCCAACGTCCTTGGCTGCCGCGCCACTGTGGCCATTTGCCTGCATAGATATACATGAATGTTTGAGATGCTTGGCAAAACCTCGGGGTCTTGGTTGTCAGAGGACCTGGCACCAACCACTCCAGGAACTGGGGCTCCCAAACATTGGAAAATTAAAGAAAGTGAAATCAAGCAATTCATAAACTATGCCCATCTATGCACCATGTGCCTGCAAAACCACAAACAAGTTCCACGTTATTCAACAGCATGTGACAGGCCATTCTTGCTTGATCAAGTCCCGCCGACAAGTAGCGCCTATATGGTGCTGATGCCACCACCGCAACCTAATGTGCACTCACTTCTCTGCTAGCAGTGCTCGGGGCTAGAGTTATAACATGTGTATCATGCTCGCTGGCCAACACTGACTTGACGGCCCAAAAAAGGCCGATAGAAGATGATAGAAGTAGAAACAAAGCGTGTGGTGAATGGGTGCGGTTTGCCTAGAACCATACATCTACCAATGACTGGTGCGGTAGGCCTGTGACTTCTATCCACGTGGATATCGTTAACAAAAGCGCCATGCAAAGCATATCAAATTGATACTCATATTCAATTTGATATGGAAACAAAGGAGGGAGCACTCTTCATGTGTTGCTTTGGTTGCACCAGGAAGCACTCGTGTCTGGCTCAATGCATGCTTAATTCATCAGTCCGCCTGTGTCCTGCTTGTAAAAGGTCAGGTGCTGCTTGTAGAGGTTTGGAATAGGTGGTCTTTGGACTGTGGCCGATGTCATCCAGAACTGGCTAGCTCTGTTGATTGTTCTGGCCTGTGGGATGCTTGTCGATTGCTAGCTCTGGTGCCCACTTAGAATCTTACAGAGAAGGCGGTTCAAGGGTGAAAAAAGGCTCAAAGAATAGAAACAACAATATTCAATAGCAAAGAATGGAACAGAACACTAACCTGTGCTCGTGGGAGAACCAGGAAGATTGGCGATAGCATTGCGAGCTTTAAAGCCACATTGCGTGGGCAAAGGCACTCTTGGAATCTCTTGGGAGAGCTTTGGGGACAAATCCCCAAGCAAAAATGACTTTTGTGTCAGCTGCTAGAAGTGGTTCAATTGATTTCAGTTTGTGGGCAGAGCAGCAGTTTACGTGTTTGGAAATTGCTGGTAAGTCTCTGGTACACTGGCACAATCTTTGCTGTTGGCTTGTTCGCGACATCGGCTCAGTCTGCCGTCTGCATGAGATCTCGCAGGGCTGCTTCACAGATTCTTTGCAGCAAACAAAAAAATACGGCACTCAAAAGCATGCGTTTCGTCGCGCGAGTTTCCTGGTTCTTCAGTTCCAACATGTTCCAACACCATTCAGTAGCAATCGACAACAGGCCAGCCGGTGTCCACCGACCCGAGTGAACTCCAAGAAAACAGTCTCAAAACGGGCTGGGGAAAGGCAAGTAGTGGCGTAGTGGTTGTGACTCAAAAGAAAACCAACCGTCACAGTGACAAGCTTCCGAAAAAACGAAACAAAAAAAGTAGTTTGCATCATTGCATCACCAAGGCAGGCTTGCTTGCCAAAAGACGACGATCACCGCCACGATGCATCCACAGCCCTTGAACTTTGCCTGTTGATGCCCGAGCGAATTGTTTGACCAGGAGTTTGACCAGAAAGGCCTAGTGATAGTCTTATGGCGCTACTCTGGAACTTGATGTGGGCACTGTGTCGAAATCAAAACGAACATATCATATAATGACATGGGCAAAGATTTGCGGACAAAGAAAGCTCTTGCACCAGTAACGAGCCTTGGCTCTCTGCCAAGTCTGACACTCAGCAACGACAGTTTCTGAGGCACCCATGGCCATCACTTCTTAATATGTCTCATCGATCACATCGATCACCAGAGCTTGATGAGGTCTTTCAGGTGTCTTCACTGGGAGTCTGTTTCATTGTCGATTCCTTCTGTCTGTCGGTCTACGGTTGAATTATGTCTTAATTGTTTAAAGCTCTTGACTCTTGAGTCAAAGGGGGGGGCGTTCCATCCTGCATCAAAACTTTAGATGGACAGCAAAAAAGTGCCTTGCATTAGATGCCACACGAGCAGATTCAGCAGGGGTTTCCTTGCTTTGAGCCACTCTGAGGCACTCCGAAAGCCGAACTCCAAGGCACGAGATCAACGGAAAAGAACAGCAGCGCCAGTGGCCTGTCCAGCTCGATGGCACAGCGCACCAGTTCCAAAGCAACCTGACGGAACCAACAGAAGGATTCCGAAAGAACGGAATCATCTACTCAGTAAGCAAGCTACTAGTAACAAGTGCATCGCTACTAGTAACAAGTGCCTTACTAGTAATAACAAGAAGCAATTAGTAACAAGTGCCTTACTACTAGTAACAATAAGACTTTAATTAGAATTGCAATTACTAGCAAAGGAATCTACTAGGACCTTTTCGCGCGATCCGTTCTTTCGGAATTAATCAGTAATCTACTCTCCGATCTCCCAGGTGATACTGGAGTGGAACTGAGCCCGTGCCTCTTCTCCCCACTTATCACGAACATCTGCCAAGCTCAGTTGCAAAAAGCCTCCCTTGGCCTGCGAGAGTCTCCGTCGAGAAAAACAAAAGATGTACAGTAGGTAGGTGGTGACAAAGGTGCCTCCCATTTTGGCTGGAGTGTCTGCTTGTCGTAAGGGCAGAATGAAGGATCTCCCAGCATCTGGCCAGGCAAGGACACTTGGTGCGGCACATCCAACGTGGAAATGTGGATGAATGTGGACGACTGTGTTGCACGCCAATGTGATTCCTACACATGCATCACCAGGCGCACCGAAATGTCAGTAGGTACTCCGTTGTCCCCAGAAACACAGCCACGCTGGAGCATACTACCTCGTGGCAAAAACATGTTTCTGCATGTTTCTGCATCATATGTCACGTGCGCTGCGCATCACTTGGTTGGAGACACTCTTGATCTGTGAGACCTCTGGATCGAAGCCTTCAGCAAAACATGCAACCAACAGATTCCAGCACAAATATCGACATCAATTTGGCAAGCATATCACGGAGCAAAAAGAGTCTTCGTCATATTCTTAAGGTTTGGTTGCCTGCATCACTGCAGCCAAGCAGCCATGTCTCATCCAAACGCCCAACACATCGAGTGGGTATCGAACCGGAGCAGCTGTGTGCCTGCACTTTTCAGGGCACGAAAAGGCGCGAAAGAAACATTGGGCCCGGGGAGACGGCCAAATGAACTGACCGAAGGGTTTCTTTTTTGACAAAAAAAAATCCATTCATTTTCGTCGGGCGTCTCACGTCTCAAAACGCTGGGTTGGCTTTCTCTTCGTTATCAATAGTTTTAGAAACAAAATACCTTTCAAACAGTGTTTGGTGAAAATACTGCTAATCTAGTTTCAGCTACACGATTCTTGAAAGCGTGTCTTCACATGCACTATACTTCGTCTGAAGGTTGCAGGTTATTCAACACCTTCAAACTGTGCGTCGTATCACAAGGTATTTGAGAAGTGTCTTCCTGGAAAGCACAGCTCAGGGTTGACTGGTGGCCCATGTTTGTTCAAGGTTGATTGGAGCCTGTGGCGTTTAGTTGAAAACTATGCATAACGCCCTACCACCCGACAAGTTCAGCTTGCTGCATGTTTAAGTGTGTGTGTGTGTCCACCCCTGGACAAAGGGTTTTCCAACACCACTTCTCACAGGCAGGGGCGTGTGGCCTTCTTGTCCTACCACACGCAATGAAGCTGTGGACAAGAAGGGGAAGCAGGGACTGATCATCCCTGTGTACCTGCCATTCTATCAAGCTGTGACTCCACTCTCCACGTTTTTGATTCATGGTTCTTCACGTTTCCACCCCCAAACCTTTTCCTACCGCAGACGTGCAGCCGCGTTTGATCGTTTTGCAGCCGCATTTGAACGTGTGAGTGCACTTGTGAACAATGTTGAACAATACTTTTCAACGGACCTTGCCACCTTGCCGTTCCCTCGCCTTCCTTCCCATCGGAGTAATTGAGTTAACTGAAAACCAGTGTCAGAGTGTGTTTCGCTCAGCCGTCCCACTCGGGTGCTGAGTGTGATCCCCGTCACTGGGGCGCCGCTCTTACATGGGAAAGCAACAACCACAAAGCACCACCACTCATCGGACTTTCACAGGAAGTCACCGACACCCTCACCGAATCAACCGACACACTGGCCGCCGGGCCAAAAAAACGGTTCTTGTCGAATACATCAGATATCAGGTTTCAGATTTCGGATCCATCACGTTTATCTCTCCACGTCATGCTTGTTTCTTCACGTTTTGCCATATTAATGCCGTGACTTTTTCATCAGCAGAACTCAAGTTTGGGCATTAGAGTTCTCCAATCTAATTCGAGATGCATGAGCACACTTGACAACAAGCTCACATCCAGCACCACTTTACAACATACTCCCCATCAACACGAGCGATGAGACTTTCAACAACATTATGACAATACCACTCGGCACTTTTCCGCTGCATCCTTGCTGCTGCGCCGCGCCGTGCCATAGCTACGACTACGATATGCATTTTCCGTGGCCATACGCTCACGCCACGCCACCACCATTACCTACCACACAACCTCAACCCACATGGCCGCTGCCACAGCCGCCAACTGCACCCACCTTTCCCTCGCCACAACCATCGGCATACCCTCACCCACAACCACAACCATTTCAAACACCACCTTTTTTGCCCAGTCCGACTGCCACTGCGCTAACCTACGGCACTCCGTCCACCTGGACGTTTGTGCAACCATCTCACATGCCACCGCAGCCCACACATCCAACTCCAGTGTTTCCGTCCGCAGCACCTTCCCCTTCATACATGTTGCCACAACTACATCCCACACCACCTGCTGAACCTACCCCCACTACACAGACACATCCCCTTCCAACACCACAACAAGCAGCAGTTGCCCATCATCCATCCACAGACCCACAATGCACCATCCCCCAGGGAGTTTGGCAACCGTACTCAGTCTTTCCCCCAGTCACACAGCCTCCACCCCAACCATTGCCTCCGCCGCCCCCTCCACAAGCCATCGGCGCTCCACCACCAGTCCAGCCCCCACTCCCACAACAGGCGCCATCGGACCCCACACCACCAGTCCAACACGTCACCACCACAGCCACGGACCCTTCTTTGCCGGTCCAAAGCATGACCCCTCCAGCTACTGGCTCCCAACCTTCCGCATCACCATCCATTGCATCAGCGACACCAGCTCCTGGACCTTCACTACCTGCAACAGACAAGCCCGACACCACCGCCTCACCGGCGCCACAACCACCTTCCCCACAGCCACCACACAGCAGTCGCCGCCACCACCACAAGAGCCGGCATCGACATCACCACCACTCAAAGCACCACAGCGCAACCCGGCGACGCCGTTCACCCTCGACATCCACTTACACATCCAGCCTTACACCATCCCGCAGTCGCTCACCACCACAACCCATCGACTTACGCCCCAACACTGAACACACCAACCCCGACCCCTCTCAATTTCCCACCACAGCCGTCCTTCGTCGCACAATCAACCGTTGGCGACCTCCACCCAACTTTCACACTTTTTCACCTGCAGACCAACTCCTGGAATGGCTTGAATTCCACGCCACCCAATTCGACAACCCCAACCGACCACAGCACCAGTACATTGCCACTCTCCTCACAGACTGCAACATCACCTACAAGGAGATCACCGATTTCCGGCAATACACTCACGCCAGGTGGAACGACACCACTCACCAATATGACCAATTCCAATACTACGCCATCTCACTTCCTTTCCTCAACACAAAAGCCACCACACCAGAACCGCCCGCGGTTTCCCGAGCCACATCAACCCGCCGGGAAGTCGCCCACATCAACGCTGGCCATACAGGCCCGGTCGGCAACATTGCCAACATCCTACGCCAAGGTCGATTTTTACCCAGCACACTTCACTTTGCCAACTACCCTGGCTTTTTTGCCCAGGGTGTCCGCATCACCCACAATCAACCCCATGATCAGAGCGAATTTGCTCGCATCATCCACAACACCTGGCAACTCCACAAGAACTCCCACTCCCTTATCATCACACTCCTTGCTTGGGGTGCCGCCACAAAATATACCTCCGGAGGTGAGGAACATGCCATGAACCTCCTCAACGATTACCACGGCGCAGTCTTCCACCAGAAGGGCCGCTGCTGGGTGATCCACCCGGACCATGCCATCGTCAAAGGACTGGCCTGGTCCACAAACTCCACTCCACCTGACACGTAACACCACTGTCCAACACCTCCACACTACTACCACCTCTACCTCCACCTTTTGTCTCACACCACCACATAACCTTTGCCTATAGCAGCAAAAAAGAGCCTCTTGCAGCGGCCACGCGAATTCTGAGCTTTCAATTTTTCAAGCTTTGCAGGTTTCGCTCTGCAAAATCTCATTCCGAATCTCACCAGCTGTTTTGATGAAGTTTTCTTCACATGTTGGAATTTTATGCGCTTGATCTTTCAGTCGGACTTGCATTTTCGCACCATGCCCGTGGGAATTTGATGCTCGTTTAATTCATATGCACGGCCACGTGATGACGCGCTCCCGCAGATCAGCTGCTGTCCACTTTCCGCCAACATTTTCAGCCACTACCAACTCCGCCTACTCACCCTATACGTTTACCATCCACCACCTCCTCCTGTGACTCAGCACCATCTCGACCACCCATCCGTTTACCAGCACCACTCTCAAAAGACTCCGACGACACACCATCAACACCCCCAGCCCCACAACCTGCTACAACACGCAAGCGGAAGCAACCACTGCCACCACCACTGAACCAGCAAGCAGACTGGGACGATTGCCGCCTGGTTGAACTCAAAGGGAACCCCCGACTCCGTCCCAACTGGGTTTCTGTTGCTCGCCGAGTGGGCTTCTCCGTCGAGCAATGTCAAGCCCGATGGCAAGAACTCAAGGACATGCAACGTCAGCAAGACCAGCAACTTTCCTCCACACCACTACCAACAGAACCACCACGACAAGCACCTTCCCTCTCACCAACACCCACCTCACCAGCAGTTTCCCCACCACCACATTCACAACCGGATTTCTCCCCTTCTCCCAAGACAACACCACCGCCTTCACCACATCGATCACCTTCCGCTGCTGTGCTGCTGCCGCCGGCTGCTGAGCGAGCGCCTAGTGAGAACAGTCATCCGGAGAAATCTCCACTTACGCCCGTTGGCAGTTATTTCATATGATCCGTTTCACCCCGCTTTCTCTACGGCGTGCCGCAGGACAAATCCATTGACATGCAGTGACAAGTTGTGTTCACGCCCGTTCTACTTTCGCCATTCTTTTTGACAACTTCGGTCTTTCATGTTCTCAGGCTCACTCTAGCTCCGCAGCTTTTTGTGCGCCACTTTGTCCTACTTTCTTGTACCCATCTTTATGGCCAATCCTCGCGCTCGCCCCCATGGCAACACCGCCAACACAGAATACTACCTGCCACAGCGCCCTCCGAGCTGGCTCCAACCTTCGATTTGCACTCAACCTGACTTTCAATCTCTCAACAGCTCCATTGACCTTCTTTTTATGGTCAACCAACACCTCCGCCACCACCCATTCCACACTGAACCTATGCCAAGCCAGACGTATTTTCAAGACCAGAGAGCATACAACCTCCTCTACCGAATGCGCGGCGACCTGATCTTGATGGACCGGCTGATTGATAGCCTCTACCAGGCTCGTCGGCTCCTCCAATTTGTCACCACCGGACCAGGCCTCCCAGGGCAATATCGCATCAACCCCACAGCCTCACTCTCCAGCAGAAACCTGGCCATTCTACACGACATACCGCCAGGTTTCCCACTACCACCCGGACTTTCCAGCCGTTCACCCTCTCCCTCACCACGTACACCACCGCAAGACGCGGAACATCTTCACTCTCACTGGACAGGTCCCCCACCACAAACCACCCCGGCCACCAACATCAACACTGCCACTCGCACCCGGGAACGCTCTCGCTCCCGCGACAACATTCAACACCGCAGTGGCTAAGTACAACATCCAGCACCGCAGCAACATCCCAACCCGGGCTCTACAGCGGCCGCCATGCAACTTGACAACCCTGAGACGACGTCCCTGGCCACAGTTGCTGCTACACTTCAGTTTTTAG